GCGCAGGGGGGGCGCATTGCCTTCTGAGTACTGGCATGCGGGCGGACGAGCACCAGCGCACGCACAAGAACAATCAACCAATGGAAGAGAAGTTGCCCTCGGAAGTTGTGGGAGCTTCATCACCTGAGACCTTAAAGAAGAGACTGGACTGCCATTTCTCAGAAATGGTCTAGGGTCTCCCACTTGGGTGGAGGGTTGGACTAGATGACCTATAAGGTCCCTTCCAACTCTTGATTATCTGTTATCTATTGACAGTTTTTGGCACAGGAGCCCAGAAAGGTTAGCCACCACTGATATAGGCTATGCTCCCTGTATCTTACTGAGCTTGTCAGTAACCAGAAAACTAAGTGAACAACTTGTAGAGATTCACAAATTACTCATAATATATTTTGATTTAGTGCAAGCCGGCGCATTTGACCAGCTCAAAACAGTCAATGAAAGTAAAGCTGCTTTTCAAAGGCTGAAGGTTGTAATTAAAGTCGTTAATTACAGCCAAAAGGATTTCTTCCCACATATCAAAACACACCCCCTTCCCATGGGAACCCTCCAACAGGATAATTCTGCTGCCATTTAATGGGAATAGAGTTGGAAGGGACCTTAGAGGTCTTCTAGTCCAGCCCCCTGCTCAAGCATGAGATCCTATGCCATTTCCTAGACAAATTGTTGTCCAATCTCCTCTTTAAAACCTCCAGGGATGGAGCAGCCACAACTTCTGGTGGCAAGGAGTTCCACTGGTTAATTGTCCTCACTGTTTGGAAGTTTCTCCTGAATTCCAGGTTGCTTCTCTCCTTGATGAGTTTCCATCTGTTGTTTCTTGTCCTGCCTTCAGGGGCTTTGGAGAATAAATTGACCCCCTACATCTTCTTTGTGGCAGCCTCTCAAATGCTGGAATGCTGCTATCGTGTCCCCGCTAATCCTTCTTTCTTCTAGACTGGCCGGACCCAAATCCTGAAAACATTCCTCGGATGTTTTAGTCTCCAGGCCTTGAATCATCTTGGTTGCTCTTCTCCAAACTTTTTTTCAGACTTGGCGGGGGGGGGGGGGGGGGGGGAGAGAGAGCTGCAAGTTGCAAACCGGGGTCCCAGAAACCTCAGGATGGCCATCGCAAGGGGGCCAAGCCGTTGCCATCCTCAGCTCATCGCCAGCAGGCATTCGGAGCAAGGAATCCTGCAAGGAATGGCACTAAGAGCCGAAGGCGGGTTGCGATTGTGGCCGCCCCGGGCGTGTTGTCACCATCTCCTTGGGGGCACCCTTGGGGCCCCAGGCAGCTCTCGGCAGCCCCTGGGAACTGTAACCACGGCAGCTGGGAGGCTGACGGCTTCCAACACCCAGGAGAAGCGACTCCAGCATCAAGGAGTCAGGAGGGACGTGGTAGCATCAGGTGGCCTCTCCACCACGGCCAAGTTCCTGGAGCAAGGACTCTGGGGGGGGGGGGGGGGGCGGGGGCCCCCGCGGGAAAGGGGGGGGGGGGGGGGGGGGGGGGGGGGGGGGGGGGGGGGGGGGGCGGGGGCCACATCTGGAAAAGGGACCAAGTGCACCCACGGGCACAGAGAGAGAGGGAGGGAGGGAGAGAATAGATAAATGAAGGATGAGTGGATAGAAGATGGGTGAATAAATAGAAGCAGAGGAGTGGTAGGTAGGTAGATAAATGGAGACAGACCGATGATAGATATACAGAGGAAGAAAGGAAGGAAGAAGGGAAGATAGATGGAAAGGAAAAATAGGGGAAGGTCGGGGAGGATAGCTAGAAAAATGGATGGACAGTAAGGAGGTTTGATGGTGAAAAAAACTCTTTTCACATTTGGGTTTGTTTTTCTTTTGTTCTTTTCTTCGAACCTCCAAAAAAAAAAGACAAAATGTTTCTTTAAGTTTCTCCCATTTATTATTTTTCAAACAGAGAAATATTTTGTTGCAATGAAATCCTCCTTTGCCATGATATTGTTGTTCAGCTGGGGTGGGGCACGGCTCCAGTTATATGCCCTTGTGTGTGTGTGTGTGTGTGTGTGTCTGTGTGTGTGTGTGTGTGTGTGTGTGTGAGAGAGAGAGAGAGAGAGAGAGAGAGAAAGTTAAAATGTGTGGCTACTTTGTTTTTTTTAATAGCTAGTAAGTTTTGTTATTCCCTTCTAATCTGCCTGGCCCTTTCTCCGTAATACGTAATGTGTTTAATGGCTCTTCGGCTGTTTAGTGATCATTTAAGGCTTGCATTTCGGCCAAGAGATCATCAGTAAAATGATTTCCTTCCTATCGTTTTTACTAGCAATCAATAACAGCATCTCCCCCACCGGTTCCAGCCAGACCCCTGCATTTCCCCCAGGAGCCTTGGAAAATAATCCCTCAAGTATGAGATGCTAGAAAAAATACAAGACCAGGGTTGGCCCTTTCCTGCAAACACACCTATAATTTTAGTTTCCCCCCCCCCCTCACCCCCCAGGATCCAACCTCTGACCCGAAATTTCTGGCCCATCTCCTATCTACCCACCTTCTTAAGATTGTGACCCAGGAAGCTGCATTAAACCAAGTCATCTCCCTAGGAAAATCTATATATATATATAAAAAGCAAAATACCACTCAGGCATCATCAAAAAATCTCCAGAACTGTAAAGCCTACAAACTTGAAATTTGGCTTCTAGGTGCTCACTAAGAAAGGATTTTTCAAAATGACCATCAGAGCATTTAGAGTATTTCCTATATTATTATTATTATTAACACGCTCTGATGCTAAGGAGTTCTACTCTCCCTCCCAACCTGAAAAGAAATCTCTTCCAAATGCAAAACACAAGCAGAGGAGTTTCAGTTTCACAACACCAAGCAGCTTTAGTCCAGAACAGTTGAGCTAAGCCACGCCCAGGCTCCTTGCTGTCTCCTTCTTGCTCACACAGCAAATACTGTTTCCATTTCCAAACAGCCCTCAACTCTCTCACACACTGACAGGACGCTAGCCAGATGAATACCGATGGAGGCTGGTAGGCAGAGGCACAATTTTTCTCCCTCTTATTTTCCTCCCCAAAAAAACTAAGCCCGACCACATAGTTCCGTAGCGAAGCATGGATATGGAGTTAGTATCCAATAAAATTATCTACTCACGAGAGCTGCAAGCTAAAAAGGATTATCCTTGTCACCTTATTTCCTGGCTGATCCTTTTTACGGCAAGCATCGAGTGGAACTGCTCGCCACCAGAAGGTGTGGGTGCTCCATCACTGTTTTTAAGAAGAGATTGGACAGCCATGTGTCTGAAATGGCATAAGTGTCTCCTGCCTGAGCAGGGGGTTGGACTAGAAGACCTCCGAGGTCCCTCCCAGCCCTAGGTTCTGAGACAGTTAACTTAGCCACTTCAAAACCGAGCAATTGGCACTGCGACTGCAGTTAACTTCATTTTTAAGTTTGCTTTTTGTGGGTTAAACTTGCAGTGGAGTGAGTTTACGTTCAAACTTACAGGTACTCCTCGAGTGACGACCACAATTGAGGCCAAAATTTATGCTGCTAAGTGAAACATTTGTTAAGTGAGTTTGACTTAGCAAGGTCGACTCAGCCTTCCGTCCTTCCAAGGTGGGTAAAATGAGGACCCAGATTGTTGGGGGCAAGAGGCTGACTCTGTAAACCGCTTAGAGAGGGCTGTGAAGCACTGTGAAGCGCTATATAAGTCTAAGGGCTCCTTCCTCCCTTCCCAGTTGTCAGAATGTAGTTATGCAGGCTAACTCTGCCCACTGCCAGCGGTTTGATCCTGACTGGCTCTAGGTTGACTCAGCCTTCCGTCCTTCCAAGGTCAGTAAAATGAGGACCCAGACTGTTGGGGGCAAATAGGCTGATTCCGTAAACTGCTTAGAGCGGCCTGGGAAGCAGAATATAAATCTAAAGGCTAGTGCTATTGCCCCATTTTACGGCTTTTCTTGCCACCGTTGTTAAATGAATCCCTGAAGTTGTTAAGTCACTCCGTTGTTAAGTGAATCTGATTTCCCCATTATCTCTGCTGGTCAGAAGGCCGCAAAAGGGGATCACGTGATTTTTGGGACACTTGCAACCGTCATAAATACCAGTCAGTTGCCAAGCGTTTAAATTTTGATCACATGACCACAGGCCTGCTGGAAAAAAACCGGTCCTAAATCACTCTTTTCAGGGCCGTTTATAACTTTGAACGGACACTAAACGAACTGTTGTAAATTGAGGTCTACCTGTATGAGGTACCTGTTTCTGCCTTGAGTTACTTATATACAGTAATAAAAGCAGGATACAAATCTAATACATAAAGATCACAACTGCTTGGCTCTGGTTTATTGATCGCCGGCTGAAGCCAAACCAGGACAGGGAGTTCGAGTCCCGCCTTAGGCACAAAAGCCAGCTGGGTGACTCTAAACCAGTCTTTCTGTCTCAGCCCAGCCCACCTTGCAGGGCTGTTGTGGGATAAAAGGAGGAGGAAGGAATGTTAGGCAAGTTTGCCACCTTAGATCGAAGAATAATACGGTTGGAAGGGGCCTGGAGAGGTCTTCTAGTCCAACCCCCTTCCCTTGCATTTGTAATAGAGGCAGGCGTAAACCTATAAAAAGAATAAATTATCCCAGAGCTTTACTGTATGAAACCACCCAAAATTGCACGGTACTAACAAGCCATCATTTAACAAGCTACCGCATCCTCAACAGGACTCACAAATAAGCAATCCACAGTTTATCTGAGCAAGTTCTGCCCTTCTCAGGAACTCGGGATTCATTTTGTTTGAATTGATTTACAGCTTTTCCTGCCGGAGCAGCGGGTTGGACTAGAAGACCTCCAATGTCCCTTTCCAACTCGGTCTTCTATTTGGGTATGGCCTGTTTGGGGGGGGGGGTCATAGCTTGGCAAGGCTGCCTTTTCTCGGGCCAGGCTGGCATCCAATGGCACCCAAGTTGGGTGGGCCGGGGGGGGGTGGGCTTAACCTTGGGCATCTGACAAAAGCCCTCCAAACCCCATGGGGCAGGGGTCCGAAATCCAGCCAGCCCAGCCCGTTCCCCACCCCTCCCCCGTCCTACCTTTCAGCAGTGGGAGAGGTGTCAGCTCCTGCTGGTTGCTCTGGTACCGGAACTGGGAAGAACTGTGCGATCGTCTCTGGCGGGACCGGCGCAGCGACCGGCGGGAAAAACCGTCCACTTTATCCGGAGGCGGCACCGGAGACAGCCCCGGGGACGAAGGGCTGGTCGGTGTGACGGCCGGAGGGATTTTGGTCTCCATGTCGTTAAGCGGGGTGGTCCGTCTGTCCATCCGGCAGCTTAACCCTGGGTGACGCCCGGCTTTGCTTTTAACCTCTCAGGGGGGCACCGGGCATCCCCTCCGGATGCAGCAGCGGGAACCCCATCACCTGTCCAGGTAAGGGATGGCGGGGGGGGGGGGGGGGGGGGTCGCCAGTCCCAGTCTGGCTCCTGGCCAATCTCAGGTGTGTGTAGGGAGTGGGCGGGGGAGAATTCAGGTGAGTTGAAGTCCTCAGTGGCAGCTGTGGGTCACATCGAAGGAAGGGGGGGCTGCAGGCTGTCCAGTTCAGGGCCCCCCCATCAAGCGGAGACCAAGCAAGCCTCTGAAGAAGACCGGGGGGGGGGGAGCAGAGGGGCCTGGAGAGACCCCCTCCTCCCAGGGCCAGCCGGTCAGCCGGGGTCCCCTGGCGCTCCGGGAGGGAGGGAGAGACGAAGGGAGGGATTTAGGGATGGAGAGAGGGAAGGAGGGATAGATGGAGGAAGGGAGGGAAGGAAGGAGGGATGGACCGCTTGGGCAGCGGCCTGCCGGCGGAGGAGACCCCCGCTATCTCCCCCCCTCCTCCTCCTCGCAGGTGCGGCCAACAGGTTGCAGAGCGGCGTCCCGAGCAAGGTCAAGGCGGCTCTGCCGCGGCTGCGGCTGCTTCTCCTCCTCCTCCTCCTCCTCTTCCTCCTCCTCCCTTCAAGCCGGCATCAGAGGCGGCGGCGGCGGCGGCATCGGCGGCGGCATCCCCGAGCAGGGAGCAGGCAGGCGGGGCCCGGGCGCGCCTCCGGACCGGCCCCTTCCCATGGGGGCCCCCAGGGCAGCGGCAGCAGCAGGGCGAGGCGCCCCCCGGGCGGGCTAGCCGGCAGGGGCGGGCAAGCGCATGGCCAGCCTCCCCCCGCTCCGCTCCGCTTCCCTTCCCTTCCTCCCCGCGGGCGTCTCAGCAGCGGCGGCAGCGGCAGCAGCAGCAGCGACGGAAGGAGCGACGGAGCCCGGGAGGCGTCTCCGGGCACGCGCGCGCCGGGCTCGCTCCCGCCACAACGCCTGCTCTTCACCCCGCCCGCGCCTGCCCGCCCGCGCGCGCGCGCGCCGGCTCGGCCGCCTGCCCGCGAGCCACGTGACCCCGGCGGGGGCCCTCCCATTGGCCCCCTAAAAATAGAAGCTGCGTCAGGCTCCGGCAGGGGTGATGTCATCGCCGCCGGCCCGGCTGAGCGGGGGGGGAAGGAGGGACGGAGGGGGAGAGCTTGGAGCGCTTGCGCGGTTCGGCCTCCCCGCCCCCCCCTCTCTCAGCTGCAGGACCCATCCTCCCCAGCCAGTCCCGTTGGGCTGCTCTTCCAGCATCATCACTCATCCCCAGATGATCCCATGAGGCTCTTCTAGGGATCCAGCTGCAGTACCCATCCTCCCCAGCCAGTCCCATGTTAGGGCATCCAG